ATAAAATAAATATATGTTAAATAAACAATCAAACAAACATATAAATTAGTATTACTGGGCCAAAGTCCCCCAGGGAGCTTTCATTGCTGAAGAAGGTCTAAAACGGGTGTCAAACTGCCGGCCCATAGACCGGATGCATCATAGCAAAAGCGCGCCCATCCCATTGCCGGCAATGGCAACAAAGTCATGGCACGTCGCGACACGTCACGTGACATTGCGAGTTTGACACCCCTGGTCTAGAATCTGTGTCTCCTCACTCCTGGTCTAGCACCTTTACCCCTGGACCACACTGGCTCTTGGGCTGAGAGGAAAGGAGCTGGCCTAGAATCTCCCAGGAAGCTTTCATGGCTGAGGGGGGCACTGGAACCTGGGTCTCCGTACTCCAAGTCCAGCACCTTCACCTCTAAAGGCAGCCCCTTCAGGGTGAGTTGAGGGCTCCCCCCCTCTGTCTAAACTTCTTGTCAGGCATCAGAGTTTAAAACAGTGCCCCCCAAAAGAGGTCCTTGGGAAAAGCTTTTAAGGATGCTTTAAGATTGGTGTCACAGAGTAAGATAGGACTTTGTGGCAACCTTTTTGTGATTAAAGGACACAATATACCATAAGGCCAAAGAAATAGGAGGAGCACATCATACAGGAGGGCAATAAATTGAATATTTTTTCATTGTTTTTTAACCTTGATTGTTAGGTTTACGCTATTTTTCATATTTCAGCAATCACAGTGGGAGTTCTTCAGGTCACCCAAAAAATATGTCACACTGCAGATTGCCCACCCTTAGAAGATTTGAAATATTCTGGACTGTGTTGGCTGCAGTTACAGTGCATCAAGCATCTTTGACTTCAATGTGATTTTGTTTTTTTTCTCTTTTTAAAGATAACATTTTAAACTTCAATTTCCCCCCCTCCCCAGTGGTATTTCCCATTCGATAAGTTCAGATATGCAGATCATACAACAAGAAACACCAACAAGCGCAAAACCAAGAAAAAAGTATAATGATGAAGATGATTTGTATTTTTCTTGCCCCAATTCAAGGTAATCATTTGCTTTTAAAATCTTGAAAATAATTGTTAACATACATGTGCGTCCATGACCTCATTTTAAGGTAGATAAATAAAGCTTTTCTTTTCTAATGACACAGAGTTTCAGCAAGTAACACCAATACTGCCTGGACTCTAATATTAAAAAAAATCAAACCTGTTTAAGAGCTGGGATGGAAGACCACCAGGAAACCTTCAGATTTTAGCCTAGATTGGGAAAATGAACACTTCTAGAAAAAAAAATACGGCAGGATAGCACCAAGATTCAAGCTTGACTCGAAGTTGTGTTTCCTTTTTCCTGTGTGTACTGGAAATGCTTAGTGCATTTGACACTTTGCTGATCTGTTACTCAGCAGTTGGGTATAAAAATCACTGAAATGGTCCTGGCTCTTTTTGCTGTCTGTCTTCATTAGAGCAGATTTGTTTTCCCTTAACATCGGATTGGAGAATTTAGGGGCATCAGTAACATTGAAATAAGTGATGGCAATTTTTTCTCATGCCACCGGGTGAATGCTAAAGGGCAAAAGGGATGTTTTAAGTTCTGCAACATTTAAAATGTCCACTTAAATATGCCCAAGCAGGAAAATTAGCTTTTTGTTTTGTTTTATTTCAAAGCATGAAAAAACTTAAGACGCATCCGTTTTGTCCCTTAAGTTTTCCCCAAAAAATACCTGCAGAAAGGATAACGTTTTGAACACATCTACTTGTGGCTGCAATAAGTAGCAAAAAGACTACTAGGTATGGGGTGTGGGTTGCCCATTTATGCCAAGTAGCACTATGAAGTCCTAAACGCGCAGAATTGTTTTGTCTTTTTTTTGGTTATGTTTATTTTTTTTATTAAACTGTGAACAAATTAGATCAAATTTTAAGCATACATTGCATCAAATAGGTAAGTATTGTCAGCTGAAGTGGCTGCAGTCCAGAATAAAAGTAATTAAAAAAAATATTGAATAATTTTGGATCCTTACATAGCAGATTTTCCTTCTTTACCTGCTGCAGTGAGTATGGAGAACAGTAAGAAGGACTTAACATGGCAAATCACCCACAGAGGACTGCTATTGTTAGTCAAGTTTTATAGCCCTTCAACTTCTCTCCCTTCTGGGATGCTTAGATTGCTTTGGGAATCTAAGATCAGGAAATAGTTGCACAGGGGAAGTTTTCATTCATTCATTCATTCATTCATTCATTCCGTTTCTATAGCCGCCATCTCAACCAGTGACTTTGAGCGGCTTACAGTAAGGTTACATATGAAATGAGGATTAGCCACATTGTTAAATATCTTCCAGGCATTGGGCAAGTATTTAAGGCAGGGGTGTCAAACTCAATTTCACTGAGGGCCGTATCAGCATTGTGGTTGCCCTGGGGGTGTGTGTGGCCAGAGTGGGTGCAGCCTACTGGGTGGGCGTGGATGGAGTGGGTGTGGCCTCCTGGGTGGACGTGGCCAGTTATACATCATTCGCGTCAAGGGTGCCTATGGGGGCCTGGGCAGGAGTGGGACAGATCTGAGGGTCTCTGGCAGAAGGGGGTGGGACTGGGGCAAGTGCCAAGGCATGGTCCACCGGGGCAAGTGCCAAGATGGCCACCACAAAATTGTACATTGGCTCCTGGCTGGCCAGGGCCAAGGCAGCGGGGGCCGTTCCTTCACTATTTCCAGGATGGCTTCGCGGGACACATGAAACCACTTCGTGGGCCGCATCCGGCCCCCGGGCCTTGTGTTTGACATGTCTGATTTAAGGCAAAAACAGGAAATAATTAGCTAATTGGGGTAAGCAAATAGGAGAAAACTAGCTTGTCCAAGCTAATTAAGAGCACAGTGCTTTCTAGTAAAACAACAGTCCTTGCCGTTGCAGAGGAATGGATCCAAAGTTAACATATTTTACTCTCTTAGACTTCCAAATATCAATGAAATGTTTTTCCTAATTGTTCAGATATTTTGATTCGTCCGACTTGAGAAGTAGTGCTTTTCCTAAATGGGATGACAATTCTGATTCATTCTGGAAGAAAGAAAGCAGCAGCAGCAGAGATATTGATATGATTTTGTCTTCCAAGCCTACGAGCTATTCAGAGAGGTAACTTTCTTTAATATCAACACTTATAGGACATAATATACACAAAGTTGATTACTTTGCTTGCTGACCTGCCACTATTAAATCATCTTTGCAAAATAGGGTAAACTTGGAATATTCAGATTTCAGTATTGGAATGAAAATTTACGTCACAAAAAAAATCTATGTATTTGAAATCTGAATGTTAACAACATCTCTGCAAACGGGAGTAGAGTGTGTGTGTGAAGGATTTAGAGTTAAGACTCTAAAAACACTATTTTGCTTTTTGGTTGATTCGGCATATTGAATGAGTATATGAGAAAATACTTTGACAAAACAGTTAGGACACTGAAAGCTCTGGAAAACATTCTAATGAGGAAGTGGCCAGTGGGATGTCTGCACAATCCAGAGTGTAGATTTTATAAGTAGAATTGAACTGTATTACACAGGATGCTTTGCTTTCTAGTTTTACCAGATTGGTTGTGAAAAAAAGGAGGTACATCAAGGGAATATAAAGCTCCTAATTCCTTTGGATTAAAGTCATAAATAATAAATACTGCACACTTATTCTTTTAAAAACAGTACATTTTCTGTGCTTGTGGTCTATTTTTTATGCCTTTTCAAAGATTTCCGGGTAGTTTTCAGTATTGGTCACAAATGATTCCATAATAAACTGAAAATAGATTTTTTACAATTGTAACTGTTGTGTATAATCATTAGTAACATAAAAAACAGACAATAAGTAGTTGTCTTTATAAATCTGTCATACTAAGATAGTATTCACAGTGCAGGTAATCCTCAACTTAACAACCATAATAAAGCCTGCCCATTAACTCCTCTAAGTCATGACGGTTGTAGAACAGGTCGCCCACATGACTCACCTAACTTTATAACCTTTTTTTTTTGCCATGCTCATTAAATGACTCCATTGTTTGCTGTGGGGAGTTTTTGCCAAAGATCGGAAGTTTTCAGCCAAAATATAAATCACAATCATGTGATTAAGGAACACTGCAGACAGCCATAAATTCAGGCCAGTTGCTAAGCACCCAAAATGCAGTCCCATGACTGCAGGGGGTGGCCATCAGAATTTCAGAAGCAGGTCATAAGTCCCTTTTAGGGAGTCCACCATAACTTCAGACAGTTGCTAAATGACTAATTGTAAGTTGAAAACTACCTGTATTAAGGATATTTGTAAAATGCAAATTTCATTGTTGAACTGGGACCTCTTGAGATATAACCATGTTGAAACATTTCTTAGGTCATCGTCTCGTAGGAAACCAGAGCATGAAAAATCTGCAAACACAGATGAAGCACAAAAGAAATTTGGCAATGCAAAAGCTATTTCATCAGATATGTATTTTGGAAAGCAAGACCATGCTGAAGTAAGTGTAGTCAAACATTTTGAAATTATTCACCGGTTATGGTTTCAGAATGTTATCCCATCACAATAAGAAAAGATGTCGAATACCATGGAATTACAAAAACATTTATATGTTTTATATTTTCTTCAATTACTATCTAAATTTTTCAAAGGGAAAATCAATAAGAAAAATCAGGAGGAAGGATCCAGGGGGAAAAATGGTTTCAGTGTCAACTTGTCAGAATGTGGAATATAAACTGTATTTGGAAGGATTCATTTATTCAGGGAAAAAGTTCACTGCTATAAATATTTCAATACAGTCCATGTAAATATTGTTTCATTAGATATAGAACAAAAAAAGTCTGCTCAAAGGAGTAGGATTCTATTTTACATTTGTTTCGAGGTTATCTAAATTTTGCAATATATATAGATTACTTTTGTAGGTTGTTATAATGCAGCGGTTCTCAACCTATAGGTCGCGACCCCATTTGGGGTCGATCGACCATTTCACGGGGGTTGCCAAGCAAGGCTGTCCGCCATTTTTTTCCCCCTTTTCCGGCGGGTGCCTTACCTCCCTTGGGCTGGGCCAGCTGGTGGTCGGCCTGCTCCGTCTCTGCCGCTTGCCAGCTATGCCTCGGCCGGCGCAGGGGGGCGGAACCACGCATGTACGGCGCTTCCGGGCAGGGAAAGTCCTCGACTTATGACCGGTTGGGTAGTCCTCGACTTACGACCGGTTTAGTCCTCGACTTACGACCGGTTTAGTCCTCGACTTACGACCGGTTGGGGGTCGCGGCATTAAAAAGGTTGAGAACCACTGTTATAATGGACTGTATTTTTCTAGTTTTATATGAACTTTGGAGAATTAGCCATGCCTGCATGCTTTCTTTGATTGACATTTTGAAGATCATTCTCTAGATGGGAAAGATGGACACGTTCTTTATTACTGAAATTTCCTTTACTCTCTGTAGTATGAAGCCAGAGTTCGATTAGAAAGGCTTTCCGGAAATGCTGCCATAAGTTCAGCTGATTTGTTTGAAGAGCAAAAGAAACAGCCATCAGGTACGGGGAAGGAAAAAGCTGAGTTTCAGATATTGCCAGTTTTATAAAACAACCTGCTATGCTTATTAACTACAATATACTAATTAAGACTTTGGAAAAGAAACAAGGTACGGTGCATCTCTGGATAAATTTGTTCAAGAGTCTTAATTCTTTTGAAGACTCTTGTGCCTACACACAAGTAGAGCACAGGGCAATTGGCCCTATCATTCCACCATTGCTAAGTTATTTCATTTTCTCAAAAGAAATATAAATTAGTAGTCTCATATACATGAGAGCCAACGTGAGGTTGCAATTAAGGTATTGAACTGGCACTGAGAAGATTCAGGTTCATGTCCAACCTCAACCACAAAGCTCACTCTTTCAACCAAACCCATCCCAACCCACCTCACAAGGTTCTAGATATAGGGAAAATTGGAAGAGGGACTCCAGTGTTTACCATTTGACTGAATAAAATACCAGATAAAAGCTCTTTAGGCTGCCAGCTTGGAAAGAAGGGGCGGGATGGCAAGGTAATGGGTAAAAGGGAGAGTTTTGCTTTGCTTTGCCCATGTTACCTTGCTGTCCCTTTATTTGCAAGCTCTTTGGGCTTTCATTGCACTCTTTCTTTCTTGCCTATGATCAGGTTTCACTCTTATTTCTTTCTCTCCCGAACCACCATTTCAGGTGTTGCAGTGGCCGTAACTTTGAAACTGGGTTGTAAGTAGCTTTTGGGGGAGAGTCTGTCATAAACTGACAACCTGTCATAAGCCATGCACTACCTTGACATCTAATGAATGTCAAAATCTTATGCTAGCCCTTTACAATGTAAATAAGTGGGAGATAATAAGTATGTGAAAAAATGACAATTCTCAGTTTCTTAGACCATTTTATTAATATGTTGAAGTCTAATTTGTGTTGCCTTGATAGGCTGCCAAATTTAGAAAGCGCTCTCGTCAATGTTGCATTATAACTTGCTTGCTGAAAGCTGTTAACGCGAAAAAGGAATCAGTATATTGCTTCATCTGCTCAGAAAGTAGGATTCTGAACATAGTGGACATGAGCTATTCTTTCACATCAAGACTTATTTTATATATTTTATTATTATTATTATTATTATTATTATTATTA